TTTTCATTCTCATTTGATTTGAGGAATTTTGGAATTTTAATTTTGATTTCTTCTCTTACCCAGTCTTTCTCAAGGAGGGTGTTGTTCAGTTTCCATGTGTTTACTCTTTTTCTGTTGATCTTCCTATTGCTCAATATTTTCAGCCAAAACAAGGCCAGGAGCTAACTGTGGAACAGACCATCAACTGCTCATATGCAAGTTCACCTTGAAGTTGAAGACAATTAAAACAAGTCCATGAGAGCCAAAATATGGCCTTGATAATATCCTCCTGACTTTAGAGACTCTCTGAAGAATAGATTTGATGCATTGAACACCAATGACAAAAAACCAGAGGAATTGTGAGATGACATCAAGAACATCATCTATGAAGAAAGCAAAAGGTCGTTAAATGACAAGACAGGAAAAAAATAAATGGATGTCAGAAGAGACTCTGAAACTTTCTCTTGAGTGGAAAGTAGCTAAAGCAAATGGAAGAAATGACAAGATAAAAGGAGCTGAACAGATTTCAAAGAGCAGCTCGAGTGGACAAAGCCCATTACTATGATGAAATGTGCAAAGACCTGAAGTTAGAAAACCAAAAGGGAAGAAGACACACTGCATTTCTCAAGCTGAAAGAACTGAGGAAAACATTTGAGCCTTGAGTTGCAATATTGAAAGATTTTATGGGCAAAATATTGAATGATGCAGGAAACATCAAAAGAAGATGGAAGGAATACACAGAGTCACTGTACCAAAGAGAATCGTTTATTTATTCATCCATTTCAGGAAGTGGCATATGATCAAGAGCCAATAGTATTGAAGGAAGAAGTTGAAGCTGTACTGAAGGGATTGGTGAAAAACAAAGCTCCAGGAATTGGCAGAATAGCCATTGAGATGTTTCAACAAGTAGATACCCCACTGGAGGCACTCTCTTGGCTATGCCAAAAGATTTGGAAGACAGCTACCTGGCCAACTGACTGGAAGAGATCCATATTTGTACCCATTCCAAAGAAAATGATCCTGCAGAATATGGAAATTGTCAAACAACATCATTAATATCAGATGCAAGTAAAATCTTACTAAAGATTATTCAAAAATGGTTGCAGCAGTGTATTGACAGAGAGCTTCCAGAAATGCAAGCTAGATTCAGAAGAGGACATGGAATGAGGGATATTATTGCTGATGTCAGATGGATCTTAGATGAAAGTAAAGACTACCAGAAAGAAGTTTACTTGTTTTTTATTTACTATGCAAAAGCATTCAGTTGTGTGGATTATAACAAATTATAGATAACATTTGTTGTTGTTGTTGTTGTTATGTGCCGTCGAGTCGGCCCCGACTCATAGAGACCCCTCCTTGGGCTTCCGAGGCAGTATCACTACGGAAGTAGGATTGCCCAACCTTCCTTCCGAGGAGTGGCTGGTGGGTTTGAACCGCCAGCCTTCTGGTTAGCGGTCAAGTGCTTTAGCCACTATGCTACCAGAGCTCCTTAGATAACATTAAGAATGGGAATTCCAGAACACTTGCTTGTACTCATGAGGAGCCGGCTCATAGATCACAAGGCTGTCATTCGAACAGAACAAGGGGATACTGCATGATTCAAATCAAGAAGGGAGTGTATCGAGGTTGTGTCCTTTCACCATATTTATTCAACTTGTATGCTGACAAATAATCCAAGAAGGTGGATTATATGGAGAAGAACACGGCATCAGGATTGGAGGAAGTCTCATTAACAACCTGTGATACACAAATGACACAACTTTGCTTGCTGAAAATGAGGATGACTTGATGAATATTAAAGACTGCAGACTGCAGCATGGATTGCATCTCAACATAAAGAAAACAAAGTCTTCACAACTGGTCCAATTAACAGCTTCATTATAAATGGATAAAAGATTGACATTGTCAAGGATTTCATATTACTTGGTTCTACAATCAACACCAATGGAAGCAATAGTCAAGACATCAGATGACATATTCCATTGGGCAAATCTGCTGCAAAAGACCTCTTTCAAGTGATGAAGAGCAAAGATGTCTCTTTGAAGACTAAGGTGCGTATAACCCAAGCCATGGGATTTTCAGTCACCTCCTATGCATGTGAAAGCTGGACAATGAATAAGGAAGACCAAAGAAGAATTGATGCTTTTGAGTTGTGGTGCTGGTGACGAATGCTAAGAGTACCACGGACTGCTAAAAGGACTAACAAATCTGTCCTAGAGGAAGTGCAGCTGGAATCTTCTTGAAAGTGAGTATGGCCAGACTTAGTGTCACCTACTTTGGTCATGTTGTCAGAAAGAACCATTCTCTGGAGAAGGATATCATGCTGGGTAAAGTGGAAGGTCAATGAACAAGGGGAAGGCCCTCAATGAGATGGAGTGACACAGTAGCTACAATGATGGGCTCAGATGTAGCAAGAATCATGAGGGCTGGCACAGGACCTCACAGTGTTTTGTTCTGCTACACATAGGGTCGCTATGAGCCAGAGACAATGACACCTAACAACATAACCACAACAACATGTTAACTGTACCACCCAAAGGGTCCAGATAGAAACCATGGTGCAATTCAAATCTTTGTGTTTCATTTCCATGGCTATTTACTGGCCAATAAAGAAAAGGAGAGCAGCCTGGATGTCTCTCAGCACCTATATACTTTTCTGCAGTTATGGTATACTCAAATTTCAGTAAAATAAACATTTCTTTGAAGTTAATTTTCTTTGTAAGAAAAAAGTAATATTTAAATTGTGTTTTGAGTAATGGAAAAAATCCTCTAGACCAAGCTGCCACCAAACAAGTTTCCATAAAAATCAAAGACAAGGATAATATATATTCATATTCAAAAGGATCAAGAAGCCACAAGCACAGGAAGAAAATAGAGAATCTATTTTCTTGTCAAATATCTGTAGAGCATATATAAAAATTGACAACGTATTAGGCCAAAAAGAAAATATCAGTTTCAAAAGGTAGAAATAATACAGACATTTTCTGATTTACAATACAATAAAGCTAGGCATTAATTTGCTGTTATTAGATGTCATTGAGTCATCTTTGACTCACAGTGACCCATATGACAGAGTAGAACTGCCCCATAGGCTTTTCTAGGCTGTAATCCTTATAAATGCAGATTGCCAGATCTTTCACCCACAAAACCTGTGTGGATTTAAACCACCACCATTTGGCTAGCAGCCAAGAGCTTAACAATTTGCAACACTAAGGATCTAAATCAGTAAATGTCTCCTTATCCTGGAAATTTAAAAAACAACACAAGAGCAAACAAACAGAAAAACTGTCTAAATGATTCTTTAGTCAAATGGGAAATACAAGCCAAAATGGGACTTTACAAGCTGGAATTACAGCATAAGGGCAGTCACCAGTCCCTACGGCATCCTTGGGTGAATTAGGAAAAGATGTGCCTTCTTCAAATAAAAGTGATCAACACTGCAGTTCCTAGGAACTCTGGTGGTGTAGTGGTTAAGGCATTTGGCTGCTAATCAAAAGGTCAATGGTTCCACTCCTCCAGCAGCTCCGTGGAAGAAAAATGTGGCAGTCTGTTTCCATAAAGATTTACAGCCTGGAAACCTAATGGGGATCTCTGTGAGTCCGAATTGGCTTGATGGCAGGGAGTTTGGTTTGGTTTGACTGCTGTAACTGGGGATAGTCAGTGAGACTATGACTCCAGGCCCAGCTGGCTAGAAGATGAGCATTAGGCTCAGGGAAATTAAAGCCAAAGTCATTTGATAGCTAGAGAAGGAAAGAAAAATGAATTTCTTTCCTCTTGAGGAAAAACTACTACTAGAGTATGAATTTTCCCTTAAGATTGGAAGCAAACTTCTAGTTAGTAAAATGCTTGCTAGCAAGATTTTTCAAGGCCAAGGAAAAGTCTCAACACAAGGAGCATTTTCTGATGGAACTGAATGTTTTTAAGATCCAGATTCCTAAGGACAAAAAGGCAAAAATATACAATGTTTAATAAGGTTCAGTTACTTTTCCATAACTCATTCTACTATTTAGCTCTTCAAACACTTTAGATAAATTTTGTCATTTTAACAACTTATCGTGAGAACTGATGAAAATCCTTTGTCACTTGATGTAAATGATTTTGGAGTAAGCTTACTCAGCCTTAAGGGATGACTGTATTCAAAGCCAAGAGAAGTCCTACTTTTTAATTATATGGATAAAGAATCATTCAGATAGTTTCTTCTTACTGCATTAGAGTATATTGAAATGGGGTTATTCCTGAGATTTTTCCTCTAAAAATCCCAAACAAATGTTGTAATTTTTATTCTTTCTGTTTCTTATGGATAACTTTCTTTTCCTGTAGCATCTCTTCTAGAATGAGAGCAACAAGGTCTCCAGGTTACTCTGGGTCATGCACATAAGTGGTAGAAAAATGGATGCTGTGATTGAGGTTGGGATTGTGGGTAGTGAGGGAGAGGTAGAGGAGTCACTGGATACAGGTAGCATAAGATGAATACAAACCTAGGAAAGCAAGGTGGGGAAAGTCTTTCTGGGGTGGGAGGTAGAGGTAGATCAAGGTTGATTTTGATGCATGAGTCACTGGCTTCCATTGTGACACGAGGAGACAGAAGCTGGAGCTAGGCCATGCTGGTGCAGTGACAGAATAAAGACCTGGTTGCTAGGACCAGAGACTAAGCACCAGAAGCTTGGTAGAGGAGATGGAGCCACAGCTCCTGCTCCCCTGTCCCTCCACTCCTTCACCCCTGGCTGTCTGAGATGTCATCTTCCACCTAACTACCATCTCCAGCTCCAGGTCTTCACTCTGTCTCTAGCTTCTGCTTGGTACTACATTCTCTACATACTTCCACAGGAGACCTTCACCTTCCCTTCCTGGAATCTCTTAAGGTTTTCTGCTTTCCTTGTGCTGTGATTGCCAACCCTGCTAATTCAGCTGAGATGGAAGAATCCACCTTCTCTGAAACCTTCAGGCTTGCTCCTGATCTTCATCAAGAGTCTTGGGACCCTAGGATAATCATTGCTTTATTTGAAATTGGCTCAATATCCCTTTTCTTCTGGAGTTCACTCCTTTCCCTAAAGAAGACTAGCAATCAACTATCTGAACAAGTGACTGCACAAAACTTTGAAAATGTCTTAAACAAAATTGAAGGTATCCTTAAAAATATGACAGGTTTTGAAAAGACCACAGAAGAAAAAGACTCTTTTGAGGACACCAGTGTTTCTGATGATGTGTTGGAACTTAAAGAAAAAATCAAAGGACTTGATGAGATAAATAAAAGACTATTTAAAAATCTGCTTGGTAGCTTATATCCAGAGGAATTCCTGAATGTAAAGAATCAGGAAAAGATATTTGAAAACTCAAACTCCAAGGACATGGTACAAGTTTTTGCAAGGGATTTGGTAAAGCATTCAGAAGAAAAAAGAGCCCTTAGTGAAACTCAGCTGAGTATAGAAAAAGCAAAAAATAGATTACTTCATGCTCAAGAAAATATCAAACTTAGAAACAATATGGAGCAGTTACTACAGAAAGCAGAACACTGGAGTGAACAACATACTGAGCTCAGTGGGCTAATAAAATCGTATCAGGAATCCCAGCAGGCTTTAAAAGAACTTTTTGAAAATCATGGAATCCATTTCCAAACACAGCCAAATAACAAGGTATCATCTAGTCGTAAGATGGCAGAACAAGTTAGGAAATTGGAACATGACACTTATTCATTGCATTTGACTGCAGCTTTACTGGAGAATGAGTGCCAAATCTTGCAGAAGAGAATAGGGATTCTCAATGAACTCCATCATGAGAATGACAGAACTCAGACAGACTACAAACAGGGCCAGAAAGAACAGAAACCATCAGAAGCAGAGAAAGTAAGAACTCATAAGCAGAAAACAAAAGAAATGGAGGGTACACTTTCAAAAGGAGACAACTTTTATAGGAAGCTGGATATTTGTCATAGTAAGAAATCTCGCAATAACCAGCTCAATTTTCGTATTGCAAGAAGAGGTCTTGTGAGAGAAAAGAGGTCAGCCAGCAGACCAAGATAGAAAATACAAAAAGTGAAAGAAAAAGAAAATAACAATTTTTCAAGAAGCTGTATACATCTCACTACAGGCATGACCAACCATCAAATCTAGGATAGATCTGTTGGATTAACCAAGAAAGAGCTGTAGAACAGGAAGATTGACACACTACTCATTTTAGTAGTTATGTAAGTTTGATCTTTAATAACTTGTCACCTTTACATCTGCTTGGTTGTTGTAGTTAGTTGAGATCCTGTAACACTTCAGTCAGGAGTGAGAAGATATCAGGTTAAATTATAAAGATTAAAATAAAAATCAGGATGAACCAAAGAAAGTATTTTTTTTCTTTACCTGTGGGGAAAGTTCTGGAAATAGAAAGTATATAAAGTTGTTTTATTAAAATAATATTTTATTGCATAGTCAGTGGAAGTGTACATAGCAAACAATCTATACACAAACGATCTATACACATATTGTTCGTTGACGTTGGTTACATTCTTCACATTGTATCAACATTCTAGTTATTTCCATTCTAGTTGTTCCACTCCTTTTAACCTGGCCTCCATGCCCCTCAACCTTTTCATCTATGCTTTAGAGTATTTGTGGATTATTTGGTCTCATACAGATGATTTTTTAAAAGAATGCAATACTCAAGAGTGATAGTCATTCCTTTATGTGTTGACCTGCTATTTAGCTAAAAGTGACTTCAGGGGACATTTTTGGCTCAAGGTTTAAATAATATTTCAGTGTAGTATTCTCGAGGATTCCTCCTGTCTCAGTGGGTCAAGTTAGTCTGGATTTTTCAAGAATTTTTCTCCCGTTCTATCAGTATGCATCTATCGTGGTCCCGATCAGAGCAATTGGTAGTGGTAGCCAGATACTATGTAGTTCTGGTCTCAGGGTGGAAGAAGCTGTAGACAGTTAGTTCTGTGGACCAGTTTGTTCTCTGAATCTTGGTTTTCCTTCTTTCTCTTTTGCTCCAGATTAGTAGAGTAGTTTTATCTTAGATAGCTGCTCATAAGATTTTAAAACCCCAGATGCTACTTATAAGACTAAGATATAGAACATAAACTTTATGGTCTATATTATGTCAATTGACTGAGTTGTCCCATATGGCAATGAATCTAAATCTTCAGACAAAGAAACCTAATCCATGACGTGATTTGTTATGTCTAAAAGTATCAGTTTCTATTAGTCTTATTTGGTTTTATTACATATGTCCATATGTTTATGTAGATATACATGCACACACACATATATATATATATTTGCATACATACAAATATATATATGTTTTGTACGTATTTTGTAAAAAATAGTTGTACGTCTTTTGATTGTTGCTGCAAAATAATATATAACATAGCATTTACTAAAGCATCGTCATCTTCTTTTTTTGGGGGGGTATATATAACCTGGGAGCTCTGGTAGCATAGTGGCTAAGACACTTGCCTGCTAACCATACGGCTGGTGGTTCAAACCCACCAGCCACTCCTCGGAAGGAAGGTTGGGCAATCCTACTTCTGTAGTGATACTGCCTTGGAAACCCAAGGAGGGGTCGCTATGAGTCGGGCCGACTCAATGGCACATAACAACAACAACAACAACATATATAACCTAGTGGCATCAGTTAACTTGGTAAGCTGTGAACACTTCTCCCACCTTTGGTGCTACCTTACTCACCACCATAAAAAATTGACTACTGTCTAAAAAATACCCCTCTCCTCCCCTTCCTCACCTTTGGCAACCACCAATGAAAGTAATTATCTGTATATATAGCTGTTTTTGTTATGTTATGAAACTGAGATCATATAGTATTTGCCTTTCTGTGACTGACTTATTTTGCTCAGCATACTGTCTTCTAGGTCCATCCATGTTCCAAGATGTCTCAGGAACTCATCTTTCTTTATGGCTGTATGGTATTCAATTGTATGTTGGTACCACATTTTGCTTATGTATTCCTCTGTTTGTTACCCACAAAATGAGTCCACACCTGGTATGATTGGAGCCAAAAAATCACACCAAGTGGAAGAAATAGAAAAGGTTTAATCTCCAGTGCATAAGTGGAGGCACATTGACCTCATACTCTCATAGTCTTCTCCAACTTGGAGAAGATTGACATAGGTTTTATAAAAGTGTAATTAAAAAAATATATATTTGTGCATACAGGCACATAGGGAAGGACAAAGCACAGTAAAAGTTATAAAACATTTGTTAAAGTACTAGTTTAAGTATTATCAATAAGCTCGTCTGTTCCATTCTGAGGTTGCTACATGCTGAGTTGTTTAAAAAAGCATTCTGTTAAGGACTAATTTTCTGTCAGGTCTGCATTCTGTCTCCTTATTTTAACAAACTTAGTCTCTACCTTAGTTACAAATTTGCAAAGGGCTAGTGGAAGCACAGTAGAAAATCTCAGTAGATAGTTGTAATTTGGGAATCAGGATATGTACTACAACTTGATATATACCTATCTTAGCTACAAAGTTATTTACAAAGTCTAGCTTCATTTAACATTACCAGTTCTATTTCTCATCCTCCAGCAACCAGGGTCAGCAACCAAGGTGCCTTCTCTGGGGCCAGCTGCACAAACATCCTTAACAGGAGTTAAGTAACTCTTTATCTTAGGTTATAAAGTCTGACTTCTGCTTTCTTTGTTTGGCACATTAAGTCTTGAGCCAGCCTCAGGACCATAGTCCCAGAGGACATCAAGCTCAATTGTCATAACATACTACACAAATCATTGTTCCACCTTCTACTGTGGCTAGTAGCGACTGAGATCTTAAAAGCTTGCAAGCTGCCACCTAGATGCAACGATGGGTTTTTCCTCATACAGGGCCAAGAAGAATGAAGAAAACCAAAAATTCATGGAAACAATCAGTCCTAGTGACTGGTACACCATCCGATCTGCAGCCTATATGACTATGAGACCAGAAGAAATAGATGGTGCTCGGCTACTACTGTCAACCACTTGGAAGAGGATCTTTGTAGGAGATCCTGGATAGACAGAGGGAACAATGTGGAACAAAACTCAAAATCATTTGGAGGCAAAAAAAAAAAAGGAGGGTGGGGAACAGGTTTACTGGCCCAATGGAGCCTGGTGGAACTACTGAGACTATGGCCCCTAGCTGTCCGTCAGGTCTGGAATTGAACACACACCTGTAGCATCCAGCCAAGCAGTAGACAGGCATACTAGTTGAGCAATTATCTGAGGTAGATGCACTCCTTGGAAAGAACAAGTAAGAGAGAAAGAAGGGCTGCTCAGGCACAGGGAGACAGCTCAGGGGGTAGGAGTGCATGGAGGGATGGACACAGGGAAGCGGTACCTATCAGGAGGAAGTGGGAGAGGAGATGTTGCATTGTGCTAAATAGTGGTCAATGTCATGAGACAAAGTGTATGTGATTTGCTGTATGGAACGTGTATTTGCTCTGTAAATTTTCACCCAAATCACAAGAAAAATAAAAATTAAAAAAAAAAAAAAAGTCTTGAGCCAGCATTCCTACAGTCATCTGGTGATTTCTGTAAATTGAGATGTTACCACCTTGATGGGCACCTAGGTTGTTTCCATCTTTTGGCTATTGTGATAGGGCTGCAATGAATATAAAGTTTTAATTGTGCCCTTTGAAGCCCACTTTCTACTAAACATACATTTCTTTTTCCTATTACCCACTAAAGTGTGAGAAGTAGTACAGTTTTTTAAAATGCTGACAAACACTCCTAAACAAATAGTTTTTCTCTTCTCATAAATTTTCTCTCCTCCTGCCTATATTTTTCCTAATGTTCCTCCCTTGCTCCTTAATTAGTGAACTGAGGGTGTACTAGGCAACAGAATCCTTTGAGGAAGTACAATTCAACTTGTTTAAGAGAACAGATGTGGGTCTACATTTTGGTCTTTGCTGGAAAAACTCCTCCCATTCCTCTAGGTGGTAGGAATAGAGTTACCCAGGGAAAATGCAAGATCTTCTGTTAGGAAAATGGAATTTCTGGTTTCAGAAAAGATGAAGCAGATGCCTTTCTCCCTATCCACCCTCCTAAATAGGCTAAAATATCCTGGTATATTATACATAAAACACACATTGAAAGACTCTGAATGGTGGAAAGAGTAAGCTACACTAGCCAGGTATCCTACGATTATTAAGAACAATGTGGTATTGAGTTCCCTGGGTTTTCTTTTTGTTTCTTAGATATCTGGAGTGGGTGCTGGGGAAATCCACAACCTCAAAATGCCAATGCACACAGACAAAAAAAAAAATGCCCCACCATAAAGCCTGTTTTCTCTTGCTAGAGGAAAAGGAAAGGGAAAGAAACAGCATGGCAAGACAGAGCCTTTTTTTTTTTAACTTAAAAAATTTTTATTTTGTTGCTGACTATATAAATAGCAAAACATACACCAATTCAACACAGCTTCTATGTGCAAAATTTAGTGACATTGATTATATTCTTAGAGTTCTGCAACCGTTTTCACATTCCTTTTCTGAGTTGTTCCTCCTTCATTAATATTAACTCACTGCCCCCTAAGGTTCCTATCTACTTTTCCACATTGCAGTTGTTGATTTGATCCCATATAGATAGTTCTTAAAAGAGCATAATGCTCTGAAATAAACAAATCATGGAAGAACAAATATTGCATTAGTTCACTATTGTAAAAAGTCAAGGAAAGGTTTATATATGGAAGGAAACTTTCTTTGTTGGTTATTAGGAGGAGGAGGGGAAGGGAGAAAACACTGCAAAAATAAATAAACACAAACGTTTTCTACAAAAAAAAAAAAAAGCATAATACTCAAGGCAGTCCCTTTTTACAAGTTAAGCTAAACTACTGTTTGGTTTTAAGATGACTTCAGGGCATATTTTTGGTTTAAGGTTTAAAGATTATCTCTGGGCAATAGTTTCAGAGGTTCATCCATCTTCCCTGGTTCCAAAAAGTCCATGAGAATTTTAAATTCTATTCTGAATTTTCCCCCTTTTGATCAGGATTCTTCTCTGGAATCTTTGATTAAAATGTTCAGTAATGGTAGCCAGGCACAATCCA